AGGATCCAGGGAGATCACACTTGTAAAGTGTGGGGTGCTTCCAAAAATGCCAAAGCCTCAGATGGGGGGGGCAATAGGTCGATACAGACTGAATGTAAAAGGAGTCTGAGGGCGCTTGGGAGGGAGGGTCCCACCAGGCAGGGTTTTCTGTGTGAGATGGGGCCTGAACTGCCTCTTCTAGGAGCATCCCAGGCCTGGGGGAGAGCCAGTGCAAAGTCATGGAGGTGGGAGATGGCTGGAAAGGTTGGGTGGGGGGGCCAACTTCCTTGAGTTGGGGAGGGGGAGGCTTTGGGAAAGCCCTTGTGCCAGGAGGTCCCTGCTTTGTGGATGGAGGAGCTCTCGCCAGCCACCTCAGGCACTAGGGACAAGCTCTTGGAGACATTCTGTTTCCTCTTTCTCTTCATAGGAAGGAGTGAAAACTGAGAATGATCACATCAACCTGAAGGTAGCCGGGCAGGATGGGTCAGTTGTCCAGTTCAAAATTAAGCGGCACACACCTCTGAACAAATTAATGAAGGCGTATTGTGAGAGACAGGTATGGGAATGGAGGGCTCTGCACTGCCATCTGCCTGGTGAGGGGACGCTTCTGCAACCCCCAGCCACTGACTGGTTTTCCTAAGAATGGGGGGAGGGGACTAGCCCACCCACGTGGCCAAGGACCCCATTCGAGGCAGGCTTGGAGCCCACCCAGGACTTCAGGCACACCGTTGACCTTTAGGAACACTCTTCACCAGCAACGTGTGATGTGTGTGGTCACTTGTTTGGCATCAGCTATACAAAGCCACAAAAATCAGGGCAGGGGAAGCAGGAAGGGGGGTGGTACTTCTCCTGTGAGAATCTGGTTTACATTAGAATGGCAGTTCGGCCTCTGCTCAGCTTGGCCTCCGCTCAGCTCGGCCTCCTTTTTTTTTTTGCCAGAACCAGAAATGAAACTCCCAGGAAGTCCTGATTTGCCCCTTTCTCCAGAGGCATTCAAGGAAGAGTTTTGCCCCATTGACAACTTCCAAGAAATTTCCATTTGGTTTTCTTTTAAGAAAAAGGGAGGTTAGGTCCCAAGCCCTGGTTTGCCTGTTAGTGTGTGATCCCCAGGGAGCTGAGAAGAATGTAGGGAAAAGCAGTTTTCACCAGTTTGCAAGTCAGCAGTGGTGGGATGCGTCCAGCAGGGAGCCTTTCCTGAGGTGTGGAGCCAGGGCCCTTCCTTGGCACTCACATAGGGATGATAGAGGAGTGGCTTAGCTGGCTGGGGCCCCCAGAGGTCCAGGTTCCCAGGCTCCTCTGGGGCAGGTGTGCCAACAGACGATTTACCCTGCTCCAGCCCCAGGCAGCCCTGCATGGACCACTGGTGGGCCCCTGCCTCACCCCTCCATTTCGGTGAGGTGCCGGCTTTCTTGCCGCAGTTTGCTTGGTCTGATGCCTTTGGGGGAGAACATCCGTGGCCTCTGCCCACTATTCTTTCTGTCTGGACCGCCGGGTAGGTTGTCGGATGCCACGCTCAGAATTAATAGAGATATGAGCGAAGGGGCCATGCTGGTGGGGGCCATGGTCCCAAATGCCGTCAGGGAGGTGGGTTAGAAAGGGACGAGATGGTGGAGGCTGGGCTTGTGGCCGCTCACTTTGGGGAGCTGGGATTTGCTTCCCACTGTGGTCGATCTGTAGTCCAGTCTTCCACCTCATCCATCCATCCAAGGTCACAGAGCCACAAGAGCCCAGATGGGGATTACCCAGAGGTGAGGTTGATGTAATCAGATGGTCACTTGGTCTGGGCAGTTTAGAAGGCCTTGACTTTCTGAGCATCCAGGCTGGGGGCATCTTGATGGGGTGGCCCAGGGAAGGCAGTGAGCAGGGGAGGCCTTTCCATTCTGGAAGGCTCCATGCCACCCACAGATGTGGCTTCCCCTCCCTTCCCCCACGCTTTGATAGGAGTGCCCACCATCTCCCTTCCTCCCCACGACGTGTAAAGAGATCAGGATGCGTATGGAGGAGGAGCTTCAGAGGCTGCCACCTCTTGCTTTTTCATGCAGGGTGGTGAGTTCTGGGGTACTGGTGTACATGCTTCTCTGGCCCATTTACCAAGCACTTCCACACTCTGAGCTGTGGTCAGGAGTGTTGGAAAATGTGGCTTTCGCATGCCTGTGCTGACAGTGGTTTTTTAAATTTCAGGGCTTGTCGATGAGACAGATTCGATTCAGATTTGATGGACAACCAATTAATGAGACTGATACCCCTGCACAGGTACGCTGTCCCCAGAACAGACCCTGAGGTGGACCTTCCCATTCAGTGTTGTTGGGTTGGGAAATGGGGAACCCCCTGCCCGGTGTCCCTGGGGTGCTGATGTGGTCACCTCTCTCCCTTCAGGGGAGGCCTGGATGTGCCCCCTGGGGCTGGCCCGAGGCCAGGTGGCACCTAGGGTGAGCTGGCCTGCCGTCCTGTCCGGGAGGAAGCGTCGCTTCTGACTCTGGTCTGGCTGTGTCCCGATCTCCTGCTCCTTGCCGGGGTCATGGCCCAAAGGGGATGCGAGGAGAGCGCCTGCCCTCCTGTTGTGGCCACCGAGGGAGCTTCCTGCCGCTAATGAGCCCATGTCTCTTTTCTTCCTGGTCCCGAGCAGCTGGAGATGGAGGACGAAGACACAATCGATGTGTTCCAGCAGCAGACAGGGGGAGCGTGTTAGGCGCGCGGGCCGGAGTCCCCCGGGTCTTCCTCGGTCTTGGGATAGGGAATTGTGGGATGCTTCTGCCCTCGCAGAGGATACAGATCCAAGCCCTTCTCCTCTCTCTGACTCGCCGTGCACAGTCTGTGCGACTCCCGACGATCTTTGCGGAGACGACGCGCCCCCTCGAATTGGGCCACTGTGGAATGTTCTCTTTGCTGAAGTAAAAGATTCTTGCCTGTTTGTCCTCACTTTCCTTCCTTCTGTCACCCCCTTTGCTTCGGGGGCTGGGGTGCTGGCCCCCTGCGCTTGGGATGCTTTCTTGGCTACATCGTCTAATCATGTAAATAACTCCATCTGGTCACGGCAGTGGGAGGAGGGGGAAGCCTGTGCGCTGTCATCAGCTGAATCAGGATCGTTGGTGCTGATCAACCTGCCAGGCTCCTCGGAGGAGGCCAGAGCGGGGTGGGGAAGGGGCGACCTCCAGGGTTACAGAAGCTCTGGCAGGTGAGGGTCAGGGGCCGGACATGGACCCGGTGACCCCGCCTGCGTCCTGTCGGGTGACCCATCGGGGCTGGTTCCCTGCCCCAGCGGCCCCTCGCGGCCTTTTCCGATCTCGAGGCGCCTCCGCTCGCGTGAACCTGCCTGCTGACTGCTGACGGTGGCTTTTCCTTTGGCGTTTCCGTGTCTGTGGGCTCGGGCCTGTCTCTTCTCTGATTTGTACGTCCTTTGTTGTCCTTTACTACTGTATACAGTAAATATAGTTTGGTACTCTGGCTCTTGGCTTGTGTTCCGCCCTCCCGCCGCCCCCCCCCCTGCCGCAGTCCGGTGTCGGCCCTTGATGCTTTCCCACTGGTGCTGTCCCACTGGTGCCCTGCTGAGCAGGGCTCGGGGTGGCCCTACCCAGCCCCCTCACTTCACAGATGAAGAAACTGAGGCCTCCCTGCTTCTTATCTAAAGTGATGTAATCTAAATTGGGTCTTGGGAACTTAGTTCCTGGCGTGTCTTGGTCTCCTCAGAGCCATGGGTGTCTGGAAGTTGTTTAGACCAGTGACACACAAACATCCTTCAGAGACCAAGAAGCAAGGCAGGGTCTGCCCTCCTGCAGCTTCCACTTGGAGGGAGGGTACACACCACCCAGGCACAACTAAGTCAGTGAAGGGAAGAGAGAAGGAGCGCTTGCTGCCCGGGGAATGGACCTGCAAGCGAGCTGGGGTGTCGACTACTAAGGGGGATGGCCTGGGCAGTCATGGAGGTGGGAGATGGAGGGGCCTGTGCAAGTCATGTGGCCTCTGGGCTTCAGGACGGTGGCGAGTTGGACTAGAATCCCATGCACTGGCATCCTTTGAATTTTACTAGGCGCTCCCTTTAGGAAAAAGACGCCCTGCTAAAGGGCTGAGGCTTGACCTCCAGGTACCTCCAGAGGAGGAGGAGGAGGGCGACCACTGGGTCTGCCAGGTCTGGATCCTTCTGATCCCATGAACAAAGCATTTCTGAAATGACTGAGGCAGTTGTGGGCATGTGGTGGGCAGGGAGGCTAACGAACCCTGCCCTGCAAAGGACAGAGGAGACCCCTTCCTATGAGCTTCCTCTAAGACTGCAGCCCCCTGGGATGGCTCCATGTGGCTTCACACTAGGTTTGGAGTGGTGGGGCTGAGGTGAGGAATGTAGAAGCTCAAGGCCGATGTGATGCCTCCCTCCAGACACTTTCCAGCTGACTAGTGGGTGTCTTTGAACATGGGGCCACTGCCACCTCCTGATAGCTGGAGATCTCACCTGGTGCTGACCCATTCAAGCTCCCCAGCCCCTGTCTGTCTGATCAGACTCTGTCAGTCTAACCGGGCCTTTCTCCCCTAGGCAGTTCAGTCTGTGTCCATGGGCAGGACTTATCCATTCTTCCCGCTCAACTCCACCTTGCTGGTTCAGCCCAGTGCGAAGGGCCCGGCCAGGCCCTTTGGAGTCCCAACTCTGGCCCCCCGTGTTTTAGATCTGCGTCTGAAGTCCTTGTCCCCGACCCAAGGCAGATTCGTCGGGGGCCTTCCACTGGAGACGTCGTGCCACGTGGCCACTGAACCAATCACCAGCACTCTTCGGTGCAGTTGCTGCCAAGGGTCTCTAGGGGGCGCCTCGAATATGCGTCCCCGTTACACTGGTGCAGCCGTCGCGCCCTAGTTCTGCCGGGCCCCGCCCCTTCCCCTTCTCCCTCTTGTCTCCTCGCTGTGGCGCTGGTTCCCTCCCACCGGGGTCGCTGCGCATGCGCATTCCCATCACTCTGGCCGGCGGGCGCGGCTGCTGGCCGGTAAGAGGCGGGCGGGCGCGGGCGCACTGTGCGCACGTGATTGTGACGCAATGACGCGGAACCCGGAAGAGGTTGGGGCGGGGCCGCGTCAACTCGGAAGCGGTCGGCGGCGGTGGGCCGGAGGGGGCTCCGCCGCAAGACGAGGAGGAAGGGGCGGCTGCGGATCCAGGATGGCGGGGACGGCGCTCAAGCGGCTCATGGCCGAGTACAAGCGTGAGTGAGGCCGGGCTGGGCGGGGAAACCGGGCCGTGGCCGGCCGGCTTGGGGGGAGGGGAACGCAGGCGGCGCGATTCCCGCTTTGTGCGCCTGCGCAGGCAGCACGGCCTGGGCAAGGGCTCGGAGGCTGGACCTGGGATGTCAGGTGGAAGGACCGACCGGCAGGGCGGAGCAGGGCGGGCATATCTACACCTGTAACAAGCTGTCTGTGGCAGCTCAGCCTACCTGTCTGCAGAGCTAGCCCTGGTGCCTATTTTACAGAGGAGGAAGCTGAGGCAGAGGCAGGCAGCTGTAGTTGGGGCAGTGACTTGCCTGGGGGGCCAGGTTGGGAAACCTCTGTGGCGCCCCATAGCTTCTGGGAGGGGGACAGGGCTGGTGGCCAGGTGCGGAAGGTCGTGGAAGCCTCTTGGAGGGATGGCCATGGGTCCCTAGACCCGTGCCCTCCCAGTCCCAGATCCGCCTGTGCTCGTGGTTGGTGAGCAGGACGCTTGGTCTAGTAGAGCCAACACTGACTCCAGCCCCAGAGGGTGAAGCTCCTGGCACTCTCCCACATGAAGCGTGACCGTAGGAACTGTCCGGCTTTTGAGAGGGGCACTGCTGCTCGTGGGCTGGGCCATCCCGGCCTTGGTTGGACCCTCACAGTCTGCCCTGCTCTCTTGGGTCTCCAGAAGAGCAGTGAGAGCACTGATTAAGCACCTGCTGCATGCCCAGACAGCCAGTCACAAGGTGTGGTTTGTCCTTTCTTCTCGAAGAGGACCATGACGTCAGGGAGATGGTGGCACTGAGGCAGGGCCATGCAAGGCCACCAGCCTCACTCTGTCCTCTGGAGCCATCTGGGTGCAGTGGCCAGATGTTCATCAGGATGACTGGAGAGGGCCCAGGATGCAGTGGGAGACCCTGGCCCTTTTAAGCTAAGGTCTTTTCAGTTCTCACTTAGAATGAGGCAACACCCATTCAGTGAATAGGCCTCTTTAAGAAGTGAGTCGAGGGATGGCCCCTTTAATAAAAAAAAAAAATCAAACTGAGAGAGGAAGACTCTCAGGGTTGCTGGCCAGAAGAGCACAGGCACAAGCAGGCCCTAGAGGGGTGCCTAAGAGTGGAAAAAGCTTCCCGAAGATAGCCTTCCTGGCCACCCTGCGAGTACCCTTCTCGGGCGGCCCTGCCACCTGCACCTGAACCCTTGCGGACTGGAGGAGCCTTGCGGACCTCAGAGACGCTTTAGCTACTTTAGAAAAAGGTTTTGGCAGGATTAGCCTTCGGGTCGACAGCTGGAGGGACAGAGCCCTCTGGCTTGATGTCCCACCATGGGCTGTGCTGAGGGGGTGGTGTGGAGTGACCCTGAGGTCTCCCCTCTCCCCTTGGGGCTTCTTTCTGTCTCATTCTGCTGTGGGGCTTGGAGGGGGCCCTGTGCTGGTCAGGCTCCTTGGCAGTCAAGAAGGGGCTGTGCTTGCCCCTCCAGCCCCCTCCCTTCCCTGGGGGGGAGGCAGTCATAATGGATTTAGGGGTTTGTAGGAGATGGGGAGAAGGAAGCTAGGATGTCCTGGGTTCCAAGCCTCCTCGACCCCCATGACACCTTTCCTGCTCGAGGCCACTCTCTTGAGACTGGGGATATGGGGACGGGGGCTGAGGTGAGAAGGAGTTTCCTCTCTGGGAGTTCTGGCGCCCATGTGAATGAAGGAGCAAGCCATCTGTGCCCACAGGAGGCTTACGCTTTAATTGGGGAGCCGGTGTCAAGTGAGACATCACAGAGGAGGGCCTGGGAGGGTAGTGCCAGGGAGGGCCTGCACTTGGCTAAGCAGGGAAGTCTCACCACCATGCTGGCGGAGGGTGAGGCTTCTTTTACAGATGAAGAAACAGGCTTATCTAGGCTTGTGACTCGTGACTTGGTCAAGGTCCCCTGGAGCAGAGTGAGCCAGGATTTGGTCCTGAGTCTCTGACTCCAGAGCTCCCTTCCCTTTATGTGATAGTATGCATCGGAGAACCCTGAAAGCTTGGCTCGAGTTCCAAAGAATCACGGAATTGAAGTGTCAGAAAGAACTTGGGCAGCTTTGGGGGTGCCTGCTTCACAGGAAGAGGGCTCTGTGGGGGGAGGTGTTCCTGACTGCTGGCCTCTGTGCTGAGTGGAATGTGAACCTCCAGTGTGGGGTGCCGAGGGGAGGGCCAAAGTCACGCTGCCTTCCTCTGCACTCCTGTGTGGTGTTGTGAGTGTGTGTGTGTGTGTGTGTGTGTCTGTCTGTGTGTGTCTGTCTGTCTTGGGGCGGGGTTCAGATCTCTAGAGAGACATAGGCCTGGAGCCGGAGGGACGGAGGGGAAGCAGTTATTGGGCTTCACCCTCCAGCAGCTTGAAGATAAACCAACCCTTCTGCATCTGTCAGAATGAGCCCTTGGGGTGCGCCACCCGCAATTTTAGGGGCAGTAAATGCTATCTGAATTGTGGGGCACCAAGTCGTTCCAGCCCAGGAAGAGAGTGCATGCTCCTGGTGCCCCAGTGGGTCACTGCTCTACGGGAGGCGTCATTTGTGTAGGTAAAGAGGAAGCGGCAGCCAGGCAGAGCCGTTGTTCAGGCCTTGGACAGATTCGTGCCCGTTGCCTGTTTTTGCGCATCTGAAGGGACATCGGTTTCAGGTTGGGAAGGGCCCATGAGCCAGGCCGAGCCCCCCCTCCCCCCACCCCAGTCCTCTCCTTGTATCCAGCCTCAGGGGACTCTTTGAAGCTTTTGAACTTGTCCCCTGGGAGGCTTCCCTAGCATAGGGTGCACACAGGAGGTACTTCCTAAAGCCTCGAGGAGAGCTACCACATCTCTTGTCAGAGGTAAGCTTGTCTAGGCTCTTGGCCTGGAAGCTCCGGCTCTTCATCATCTATTTGGCAGAGTCCAGAGCCAAAGTGGTCACTTCAGCTGTGGTCTGGCCAAATGGAAGACGGACAGAAGGATAGTCACCTTCCTGTTTGTGGGGCCATTGCCCCTGATTGCTGCCCATATCCACAAGATACCCTTATCTGACCTAGGCCCATTGGGACCCCAGATTGTCTTCAGAACAATTCCTGCCCAGCCCGAATTTCTCTCCCATCTCATGTTTGGGAAAATATGTCTTGGTTTGTAATTTTTGGACCAGCCCTGTGCTTTCATGAGTGCAGGGGATGCCCCTGCCTACTCACACAGATGGGCACTGTGAGGTTTTGGTGAGCTGGCCTCGGCCACACCGCCCGATGGGGCAGAGTCCGGACTCCCTGATGCCAAGCCCATCCCTCCAGGCACTCTCTTCATTTCTTTCTTTTTCTAAATTAAAAATCGATCATCTTAACGTGCAAAACTGCGTCTGGATTGAATCACGGTAGAGGTTTGGGTTGTGTGACCCACGAAAACCTCCTTTGAGAGGCCAAAGCAAAGAGCGGTTGGTGCTTGAACAGCCTGTTAAAACCCTCTTCCCTTCCATGGAGAGTGTTTGGCCCTCCTCCTCCTTAGGATCTCTGCTGTGGAGCCACAGGGGCGTCCACATCTTCCTTCAGGCTCCTGAGAACAGGCTGAGCCTTTGCCGTCCGGGGTGACTGCAGGGCAGGTTCTGAGCCAGCAGCCGGGCATCTGCAGCTGTCTTTGGCCTCTTCCCAGGAAATCCCAGGTGAGGACCCTCGGGTCATCCAGGGGTGGCCGCTGCTCAGGCCTGGCCTTGTTGCCTCCTTCCTCCCGGCCTCTCACAGTCAGGACTGAGTGCCAGAGCCCTATTTCCCATCCCCCAGTGTTCATCAGGGAGGGAGTCTACACCTGTTTGTCACGTCCTCTCTTTTTCTTTCTAATCGAAGGCAGTTGTGTTTGTAGTAGCAAGTCTCGTCTGAGTGTCCTGGGAGACCCAAGGAGGGTACTTCCCACAGCTTGGGGAGGCCCAGGGATGGCCACCTGATGTGGTCTCTTCTTCTGGGCTCCCCCTGGTAGAGCCTCCAGATGGCCTTGAAGGAGGGGCCGGGCCTGGACACCTGGAGTTGGACCCAGTGTCCCGTCTGCTTCACTCTGGTGCCCGTACCCGGCCCCAAATAGTTCCACTGCCTACTGTGTGCTAGGCTCTGTACTGGGGAGATAGATGGCAACAATGGAGCAGCATGTGCCTCAGGGAGTTTCCAGTCTCTTGTTCATATGTGTCTACAAGTCTGTACAGACTTGTGTATTTAGAGACATAAAGCCAAGGCACTTAAGAAAGGAGGTTGTGGTGAAAGAAGGGGCTGAGCCCTTCTGGGAGGAAGGCAGGGAGCACTTCGGCAGAGGTGGCTTAGGAGAGGGCCAGGCCCCTGCCCTCAGTCCGAGGAACATCCTGTCTAGAGAAGAGCTCCCCTTCCCCTCCAGCCATGCATTTCCTTTGAGAGGTCACTGACCCATTGGCCTTTGTGGGCATTGAGCCAAGTATTCTGAAGCCTGACGGAGCCTGGTCAGAATGGGCAAGAGCAGTGGTGAAGACCAGGCTGGGGCTCTCTGGGCCCGGTGACTTTGTTGTTCCGTGGCAGATGGTGAAAGTAGAATGTGTCCTTTGACCAGCTGGATGGACTCTCTAGAAGTCGGTGGGCCCCATTTAATGCCCATCGCCTGGCCAAGCTGACTTGCTTCACACACCCCAATCATTTCCTCGTTGGGATCAGACAGTGTAGCAGATGGAGTCCTGGATACCGATTGCTGTATTGGAGATTTTCCTGAGCCCAGTGATCTGTGCCTGGCCACCAGGTGGTGCTGCTGGGTCATGCATGGCCCCTGCTTCTGGTCTCTCACTCCTGGCCTCCCTCCCGGGAGCAGGGGCGGATTCCAAGGCAGTTTCTCCACTTCCAAGGCTCCATGGCCCCCGGAGCTGGGCTTGGCCGTGTTGGGAGCTCTTTCCAAGGACCATGTCACTCCCAGAATGTCCAGAGAGAACTCCAGCCGGAGACCACAGTACTGCCCCCGCTTCAGCTAGTGTGGCCAGCCTCTAACCCTAAATGTCCCGGCCTCTTGCTCCCCGTCCGTGCCCAGCCTTTCCTTTCCGTGATCTCGGCTCTTTCCATCTGCTGTGGTCCAGCATAGGTGTGTAGAGATTGGACACCTTTGCCTTGAGCCTGGAAAGGAGATGCAGTGAGCTACAGCCTGTTCACTTTCCTCGTCTCTGGTGCTCTCTGTATTTGGGCAGCCTCTGTGCTGGGGCCCATGGCTCTCTGGGAGGTTTTCTGGCCTCAGTCAGCCCTGTCAGCTTACCTTCCTGGGTGAGGGCATGCTACCCTAATGAGAGTAGGTCCCGATGCCAGATGATGCAGCCAGGCTCACCCCGTGTCAGGGTGAGGCGAAGGAATTGGGGACATTGAGCCTGGATAAACACGCACCTGACCTGCCTTCGTGGCTGGAAAACTGTTGGGCGGGCAAAGGCTTAGGCCTGGCCTAAGCCAAACAGCACTTCTAGGCTACAGGTTGGAGAGGGGCAAATCGAGGATTGTGAGGAAGAAGCCTTCCTGACAATTAGAGCAGAAAGGGCTGCCTTGATAGAGTGTGCGTGCATGTGTGTCTGGTGTGTGCATACGTGTGTAGGGGTGGCACATGTACGTGTATGTATGTGCTTATGTGTACATACATGGGTGTGTGTGCATGCTTGTGTGGGGGTGGTACGTGTGCACGTACACATGTTTGTGTGCATATGTGTGCATGTGGGGGTGGCACATGTACTTGTATCGTGTGTGCACACGTGTGCATACATGGGCACATTGCATATGTATAGGGTGGTACATGTACTTGCATGTGTGTGTGCTTGTGTGCATGTGTGTGTCCGTGTGGGTGGTACATATACAAGTATATGTACTTGTATGCATGTTTATGTGCATGTGTGTGCACATGTGTTTGCGTGCATGTGGGTGGGTGGTGCATGTACTTGTCTTGTGCACATGTGCGCATACATGGGCATGTGCGCATACGTGTGGGGTGTTACATATGCTTGTATGCGTGTGCTTGTATGCATGTGTTTGTGTGCGTGTATGTGCATGTGTGTGTGGGGGTGGTGCACGTACTTGTGTGCACATGTGTGCATATGTGTGTGGCGGTGGACTGTTGTAATGTTTGCGCTGAGGCGGAACGGCTGCCAGCCAGCTGGTTGGTTTTCTTTGGTTACAGTTTACCCTGGATGGCTCCTGACTGTGGGCAGCAGTGGGCAGCGGTGGGCAGCTGGAGGACGGCCAGGCTGAGCCCGACTAAAATATAATTGGGCCGGCTTGGCAAGATCCTAAGCGTGTGATGTACCACAGCTGCTGTTCATTTGTGGATTTTCAGAGTCATTCTGGGGCTTGTGGGGTGGGGGTCCTTTGGGTCCCACACGGCTGTCGGGGCAGATGCCAGAGCCCGCTGACAGGACAGTGCAGGCAGTCACTTTGAGGAAGTGGATGGCAGGTGGGCCGGCCCAGTGTGGTGCTTCCTCCGTCAGACCCTCTTGGCCAAAAGCAGAGAGAGCGCAAGCAGGGTTAGGCAGATGGAAGGAGCCATGAGGCCCCGGCTGTGCCGGCTCTGATTCTGACCCAAAGGACGGTCCGTGGGAACTGGGTCAGCGGAGACGGCTGTGGAGCTTGGGGCAGAGCACGGCCTCCAGCCCGGGGCCCCTGCAAAGGCTTTAGCCCAGCTCCCGAGACTCAGAGAGGAAGGTCCCTGGGCCCATCCAGTGGCTCTGCACCAGAAGTGGCAGCTTGGTGGCGTATCAGAGAAGTGGCCCGGCCGTCTGCTGTGCTGCGGCCAAGCACCCTGGGGCCTTTCCCTTGGACTTGGAGCTGAAACTTTTCTTGCACATTGGGGTCCGGGGAGCTCCTGGAGCTCCTGCAGGGCTGAATAGGCGGCGCGCAGCAATGGCCTCAGGCGCGCTTGTTGACTTGGCTTTTAGAAGAGAAAGCTCAGCCCGTGCAGTGCAGTAGGAGCAGCCTCCTCAAGCCGTTTTTTCCACTGGGGATGGCTCTGAGTCTTGTCGATTCTTTTGGTCAGTTCCATATGTACACAGTAGACACACGGATGGGGAGAGAGAGGCAGAGAGACTTGTGGGAGAAAAGATGCCATCAAGAGTTCTTTTCCCCCGTTGTCTGTTTCCTTTCTAGTTTTAGTTTCATTGGTTTTGTTGGTGCAAAGCGGTAAAATTTGTGCAGTAAAGTGTCCAATTTGAGCTCACAGCAGGTGATGGCGACCCTGCCCGTCGTGGTGAGCTGCTCTTGTCCGTAGGTCCTCGTTCTTCTGATTTGCTTATGCCTTCACACACACACACAGACCCCCCCCAACACACAGACACAGAAACACACACACACACATACAGAGACACAGACAAATGCGCATGGAGACACAGATATACACACACAAACACATACAGGCACACATGCAGACAGACAGACAGACAGACAGACAGACACACACACACACACACACAAAGACACAAGATAATTTGCTTTTATATCTAAATGCTCTGTTTGGAGTTGGTCTCGGTATGCAGTGTGAAATGCTGCTCGAACCCTAAATGCGCCACCCTGTTTTTGTGGCAGTTTCTACCCAGCAGTGAGCTCTTACCCCAGTAACCACATTCTTGGGGTTTAACCAGTGCGGGGTGGTCACGTTCTTCGCTGGGGGACCCTGAAGGATGGTCAAGGAGGTGGCCATGCCTGAGTCCCTGGGCCCTGTCCTGTGAGGCTGCAGTGTCATAGGGATCAGAGCCAGGCAGGTGGTCCTGGGGCAGGGATGCTTTTTTAAACCCTCTCTGTGTTATAAGCCTCTGGGTCAAAAGGGAGGAGATGGTGGGGCTGAAGATGGCAGGATAGGCATTTTTAAAAGGGAAGAAAGTAGAACGTGGAGGTGGCCAAGGGCAGAAAGGGTGAGGCTAGGTGGGCCGGCCCACAAACAAGGGCGGTGTGGGATGGAGCTGCCACCACTGACTGTGATGGATGGTCTGGTGTGTTGTGGAAGGGGGACTGTGCTGCACACTGATTGGTTGGAGCAGCCTGGAAGAGAGAAGACTTGGGGAGACCGTGTTTGGTCAGGTCTGCTTCTGGTGAGGGGAGGTGTGTGTTAGGCGCCATCATGTCAGACCCAATCTCCGCGTGGCCCCATCGGAGGAGCCTCATCTCAGGCCTCATCCGTCTCCCTCACTGCAGCATTGGACCCTCCGGACCACGTCCGGACCACGTCCGGACCACCGCTTCTCCTCCTGCAGATTCTCTGCCCTCGGGCTTTCCATGGCCGCTCCCTCCTGGCTCCCCTTTTGTCCAAGTGACCGCTCCTTCTCGCTCTTCTTCACTGGGTCACTGTCCACATCACTGGGGGTCTCGTCAGCCCCAGCGGGTGCAATGACCAGCTCTGTGCTCCTGGTTTCCAGAAGCCCAGGACTGACCATTTTATACCTCTACTCAGTAATCTCAGAGAGCAAATACAAAATGCTCTGATATCTGAAGCCCTCGTGACCCAGCCCCTGCCTCCCTTGGCAGGATTCTCACACCCTTCAGTGCAGTGGCCCCGGCCTCTTGGCTGCTTTTTGTCTTTTTTGTCTTTCTGTCTTTTGCCTTTTTGTATCCTTAGTACTTAGCATAGGTCCTGGCATAATAGGTGTTCAAGAAATGCTGATTGACTTCAGGACACATCCCTAATCCTACATGCCTGGGCTCTCTTATCGTCTCTCTGCAGATCCAGCCCCAGCTAATGGCCTCACCAGTCACGTGTTGGTCATTTCAGGCTGGAAAGAGCCTTTGTTAAGCACCTTCTGGTGCCAGGCTCTGGGCTAGGTGAGTGCTAGGGCTGCAGATATGAGGAAGAAAAGAAAGCATCTGTTCTCCAAGTGGCTTCCCTCTAAAAGTGGGTGACAAAACATGAAAGGGAGGGGCGAGAACGCGGGGGGGGGGGCAGCTCATTCCCCTCCCCCCCGGCTCCCCAGCCAGGCACCTCGTTGTTGGCCCAGAAGGCCCAGTGTCTTCTTGTCTCCTCTAGAACACGAAAAGGTTCCTCTCTCTGACCCCCACCAGCCTGCCTCCCCCCCATCTCGTCTGTCTCTAAACAGGGCTGTTTAGCCCTGCCCCTTGGATCGGAAGCCCTTCACTGGCACAGAATGCCTTGGTCACCGTGCTTCTCGTTCCTAGAGCCTGGGCACAGAGATCTCTAATCGGTACTTGCTGATTGATTTGTCCCCAGGTCTCCTCCGGGAGCCGCGGGCAGGAATTAGAGAGAGGAGGATTTAGGAAGGGAAAGAAAAGCGGCCCGGCGTGCTCTCTCGTGGGGGTGGTCTTCCCATCCCTTCTCTGACTGGATTCTTACTTGGCTCCCAAGACTGGGGTGATTAGATTTCTTCTCTCTTCCCAAGGTTCCCACCAGGGTCCATCCAGCCCTACCCCACTGACCAAGATAAAAGTCTTGCTATATGCAGAGGCCAAACACGATGTCCTCAGAGATCCCCTCTGCCTTGGGCATCTCAATTTGTGGAAGGAGAGTGTTGCTGTGGGGGGGGTTTCCAAGTCCCTGGATTTGGAGTTAAGAAGACCTGCCTTGGAATAGCTCAAGGACCATGGGCAGCCAGCCTCAGTTTGCTTGCCTTAAAAAGGGGGATAATGAAGGTTCTGAGTCACAGGATTGTTGGGGATGAATGTGTGTGAAGCGTGTTAGAAACCTCCCAGAGCTGTACAAATGCTGCTCAGGATGGAGGTTTTGTGATAAGAACCCCTCAGGTGGTGTTCACCCCAGATTCTCTGTAGGGGGGCCCTTACAATCGATCAAGTCAGCTTGGAGTAGCTGTTAGAGTATTAGTTGTGCCTTGGGTTTGAATCCCACCATAGATGCTTCTGCCGGTGTGACCTTGGGCGAGTCTCTTCCCTGCTCTGTGCCTCAGTTTCTTCCTCTGTAAAATGAGGGTGTAGGACATGGCTGCTGGTGTCCCTTCTGATGGAGGTGAATGCTGGGAAGCTCCCAAGAAGTCACATTGGGGCTGCTATTCACTTGGCAGTGACTGCATTTTAATTCTTCATTTTGTAGAGCTGACGCTGAATCCACCGGAGGGAATCGTGGCAGGTAAGGCCCCCAGCTTCTCCAGCCATCCTGTCCCATCTGCTGCATTGCTGTGCTTTGGGGCCCAAGAACTAAAGTGTCCGTCCCTCCTTTTCTTGCAGGCCCGATGAATGAAGAGAACTTTTTTGAGTGGGAAGCCTTGATCATGTGAGTCTGATGCCTGTTTCCATTTTCACATCTTTTTTAGTGACTGAGGTAGAGCCGTGTCACTGCCACACCCTCGGAGCTTTCAGAAGGGCCACTGTGCCACTGTTGTGGCACAGGATCCTAGGGCTGCTGGACTGGGCCTACCTGCCGAGTTCCCCTTCTTCATCCCTGCCCCCGTTTCCTTCCGGCTCGCCATCTCCTGACTCTTGTGGCCCAGAGGATGGACAGGCCCCAGGTGTCAGGGGGAGCCGGGAGAGCCAGGCATATTCCCTTTGGGTGGGAGGGGAGATGAAGAGTGGTGAGGGCCCCTTGCTCAGAGGCTAGGTCAGCCTTCCAGAGCACATCTCCTTTGCCAGGCCTGGCCTGCAGAGTAGCAGGGGTGACAGTAAGGTTTGGGGTTGCTGTGTGTCCAGGCAGGAGGGCAAGGTCATGCCCGGTGCTGACCTCCCCGTGGCTGGTGATGAGTCTGCTGTCATTGCTTTCTGGAGAAGGCAGGCAGGCAGTCGGTTAGCACTGCCACGTGTATCTGCCATGTGTTGCCCTCAAGGACCTTCCCTTTGGGCCTGGCCTCAAGTTCCCTCTTCTCCCTCTCCTCCTCTGAGATTTGAGCTCAGTCCTGTCTTCTCCTCAGCACAAAGCCAGAAGCCAGCTGCCAAGTTCCCTCATGCATATAGTGATTTTCATACATAAATATGCATGTGTACGTCTCTGTCTTTGGTGTCCTCAGGCCCAGGGGAGGAGAGAAGGGGGAAGGAAGGTTCCTCTGACCACATATGATTCAGGCAGGAAGGAATGGCCTCCAGCTGGGGCAGGGGGCCATTGAGGCAGAGGACAGAATGGGAGAGATGGGGGCAGGTTCAAGGGCAGCAAGAAGGGACCTTCTCCATGAAAGAGAGGGTGTGGCTGAGGGGGCCAAGCCAGAAGAGATGGGAGGCTGGAGGAGGAGGGATTGGCCTTGGTGAGGAGAAGGGCCTCCTTATCACCCAGGCCACGAGGAAAGGAGAGAGTCGGGGAGTCAGGTCAAATTTGTCCTAGAGCGGGCCTCAGGTTCCCATCCTCCCCCATTCCTTATCCTGCTTTGGCCCAGCTTCTGACACATCGCTCAACTGGCAGAGGTCCGTGTGGTCACAGCTGTGAGTTTTATAGTAGCAACCTTTGGCTGTGAGAGGCGGGCTGTAAGGAGAGTGGAGTACCCAGAATTGATGCTGTGGGATGGCGGGGCTGGACAAGGCGTTGGGAAGTACCTTGGACGGCAGGGAGGTCAGGTCGGTCAATACTCAAAGACGTGAATTCTGCCTATTCACTGGAGGGTCAGATACTGAGGCTGAAGCTTCGATACTTTGGCCACACAATGTGAAAACAAGATTCATTGGAAAAGACCCTGAGGTGGGGAAATATTGACGGCAAAAAGAAAAGGGAATGGCAGAGGATGTGATGGTCAGATGACATCATGGAAGTGGATGGAGCTGAGCTTGGACAGACTCCAGGAGAGAGCGGAGGACAGCGGGCCTGGCGTGCACGACTGACCACCACCAGTAAAGTTGGGGCTGTCCCATAGCCAGTGAGTGCTTCTGGTTAGATCCTAATCTGACTGTTTTTTGAGGGGACATCATTTACCATAGCTATTTAACTGATTTGTGAAGCCCTGGGAGTGAGTGAGTGAGTGAGTGAGTGAGTGAGTGAGTGATGTGTGTGTGTGTGTGTGTGTGTGTGTGTGTGTGTGTGTGTGTGTGTGTATCTCTCCTCCTTTCCTTTTCTTCCTCTCTCCCTTCCTTTCCCCTGTCCCAGGCCCACATCCCTGTCCCTCTTCTCAGTCATGACACCATCAGCTCCACAGTTCAGTCACCATCTCTGGAGCTGCAGATCCAGCCTTCATAGGCCTCTCTCATCACTAGCTGCTTGGAATGTCTCACATTCCCTGTCTCAGAGACACGCCTCACCCACCGGGTCCCAGGGTCGCCACCCTCGGCCCTGCCCAGGCAGCCACCAGATCTTGTTTCTGTCTGGGACGTCCTCTTCAGTTCACATAGTGGGCCGCCGCCTGGGCCCTCATCCACTCTCAGCTAATTCTTTTGTTCAGAACTTAACCACACACACGACAGAGAAGGTTGTACGTGAAGTGGTTAGTCGCCATTTCATACCACTAGCTTTAAGGAAAACTAAAGCATGTGACAAATTCCACACATAACTTTCCAAACTGCCTTCCTGGTACTTGGCGCTGCCCTCACCCGTGCATTAAAACACGTATCAGTTGTCCCTTGGGGGCATCACTGCTGCTGCCTCTCCATTCCCCTGCCCCCAATTTAAAAAAGGAGATAAAGAAGGGAAAACTGCTCTTTGCAATAATAAGCAAAATGGGTCACCGGGGTGACCATGTCCAAGGCGCTGTGTCTCCCTGCCCTTTGCTGAGAGCTGGTCTAGGCAGCCTACCAGGCCCTCTGGAAGCTGCACTGGTTGCCGTGCCGAGCAGAGTTCTTTGGCTTTTAATGTGGCTGCTTCTCTTTCCACTCTAGTCCGTCTGCCGCCACACTGGTTTTCTTTTTTTTTTTTCCGATTAAATCATTTTATTTTTCCCAATTTCATGTGAAGACAGTTTTTAACGCTGATTTAAAATATTTTTTGGATTCCAGATTTTCTCCCTTCCCTCCCCCTTCCCTAGGACAGTGAGCGGTTGGCTGTAGGTGTATGTGTGTAACCATATAGAACATATTTCTGCTGTAGTCTCATTGTGAAAGAAGAAACAGGCCAAGAGAAGCACAGAAAAAGGAGTTGTCTTCCACCCACCTTCAGACACCTGCAGGCAGATGGCACTTCACCGTTGATCGTCCGCAGTCACTGCGGGGATTGTCCCAAGCCTGGTGCCCCCACCTCCGTGCCTTTGTATTGGCTCTTCCCCATGCCCGGATTGCTCTCCCTCCTCACCTGATTTGGGCATCCTGACTGCTTCAGGTCCCAGCTGAGGGACACTGTCTACAGGAGGCTTCTTCCTGTTTTCTCCCGGGGTGACGTGCCGTCCCACTCAGATTCCTCACGTCTGCTTTTTCTTTTCAGAAAGCCCAGTCATTGGCAACATAGCTTAGAGTTACATGGTGATTTTCAAAAACAAGTTTTTATTCATGTCCTCTTGTTTTTTGACACCATTCTCACCCTCCCCAAGACCTTGGACCTTCTTTCTTTGGCCCCTCATTAGAAAAACTCCTTAGGGACAGGGATGCTTTGGCCTTTGTCTTTAAAATCCAGCTTTGGTACAGTGCCCTGTGTAGTGTCAGCACTTAATAAATGCTTGTTAGTTAATGTGTGCAGGCATCATGGGTGGAAGAGCTGGTAAAACTGTGTGTAACTGTCTGTTTTGGTTGGTGCGTGGCTTTGACAAAGATGACCGCGTTCCTTGAGTTCTCAGGATGCCTGAGGATGTTAAACCTTGGTGCCGCAGGTGGGAACTTTCCTTTCTCTATTTATGCTTGAAGCGTAATTGCCTTGCAAGTGTGGACAGTTTGAGTTTTGTTTCCTCTTGGTTTTTCTGAACGTTACCCCTAGACGTTGGGGTGCCCACAGCCCTGCCACTCAGTCATGGTGGAGGGCAGGACAGATGTGGGGCTGCGCCAGGCTCACTCGCCCGCCCTGCTCTGGCACCTCCGCGCTTCCAGGGTCGACTCCCCGTTGGCATGGCCGCCTCACAAGCTGGAGCCACTTGAGAAAGGAAGGAGTCAGCCCTCTGAGGTATACCCCAAGAGCCATCCATCAGAGCTCTGGAAGGGCCAGGACTGCTGATTTTAGGTACTGAGATTTCACTCACTTGCCTTTGAGAAGTGATTTGCCCTCTTTTGGGCAAGGCACTCTGTTTGAGGACGACTTTGTCAGGGTGGAATTCCCCTTCTTCAGGACCCGCTGAGTTTGTGGGTTTTGGTCCAGTTCCAGGGCTTTCACCAATGAGGAGCCGTTTACAAACGCGCTTAAAACAACTATTATGGCATTAACCGTCCTTGCCTTGGTTTTGTTTGGCAGACAGACACCTGGCTGCTTCCCGTCTGTCCTTTCCCTGCCTCCTGCCCTTCCTTGCTCTCTTGCGCTCTGAGGAGTTCCAGGATTTTCTGTGGTACTTTTTCCTAACACAGAGCAAGTGGCAGGGAGTGTCTGGATTATTGTCACGGCCAGCAGCAGAGCAGCCTGACTATGCTGGGGACTCCCTTTTCAGATTGTTATTAGCGGGGGTTTTCCCCTTTTTAACGGATAATGACTGAACTCCTGTTTGGGGGCCTTACAGCTCAGCTGAAGATCTAAGACAAAAGCTCACAGAACATTAAATTACTGGGGAAAAGCTCAATGGTAGTAATGCCATGGTCTCAGCCAAGAGAATCGGACCAGCTCCAAAAGGGGCTGGAACCTTTGAAGGTCGTTTGTCAATGGCGGAATATGTTGGTGTTTTGGGGGACAGACTGGAAGCAGGAGGGATGACCTGGAAACTGCTCTTAGGACCTGGACGAGAGTAGCGGCCATGGCGGTGGACAGAAGGCTTGGACGGGCAGGATAGAGCCATTGATTTGGGGGGGGCACCTTGCCAGCCACGGTAGCCAGCTTAGAAGATTGGCTTCTTCGCCAAGTGTTTCTGGGGGATGATGGAAGATTCTAAGCATTGCTGTCTTAACAGAATGAGCAGCAGCAAAGGAGAAGATAAGCCTTAAGAAGTCTTGATCGGGGGGCAGCTAGGCGGCCCAGTGGATAGAGCACCAGCTCTGAAGTCTGGAGGACCTGAGTTCAAATCCGGCCTCAGACCAAACACTTGACACTTACTAGCTGTGTGACCCTGGGCAAGTCACTTAACCCCAATTGCCTATTAAAAAAAAAAAAGAAGTCTTTATCAGAGCCAGCCCAGCAAGACCAGGCCAAGTCCATTTGTGGATAAAGCTCCAGAGAGGGGGGAAAGGGAAGAGATCCTGGGTGACGAGGGAACACCAGCCCCGCTGCTCCATGGTCATCCCTCCGTCCTTCACATGCTTTTT